TTGAAAACTACCATGGGAAGTCTGAGCTAGCCATTACTGTATGTCATTCGTGCAGGAATTGAATATATGCAATGGCCTTTCATCCCTGAGGATGGAGTGCTACTGAGTCTTATTGTGAACTGACTTGATCTATTGTGAAACCATTTGAATTAGTAACATATTTTAAAACAGGGATAGCACCAAGTAGCAAATTTCCCATTTCACTTTGTGCATACTTTCATATTTTGTTACCATATGGATATCCTGACTCAGTCTGCCATTTTTTCCACTGCTTCAGACTGTCATTTGACGTGCTAAAATACCACTGAGCCCCCCTACCTGTAATTTGGGATACCCCAGCACCCTGTCCTATTGAATCAGACCCCCCAGTCTCCTCCAGTGGTGGCACAGAACTGGGCTCACAGGCCACAGAAGAGTAATACAGACACTGACATTAGCTTAGCTCTGGGAAGGCTCAGTCAAAGGGACTTGCCACAACACATAGGTGTGCAGCCTCAAATGGGACCAGGGCCCACATAAATTCAGTTTACTCTTTATAAAGTTAAGGCAGGAACAGAGAAGGGTGCAAGTGACTTGGGGCCATGGAGAGCACAGCTGGGCTCAGTGCAAGATTAATAGGCTCTCTGGCTATGAAAGTGGCCAGCAAGAGGGAGGTTGGTGAGCGTAGTGATCAGGGAGTGCAGCCCCCTAGTTAAGTATAAAGTATAGGATTTAAATGATTGTAAGAGACAGCAGACAGAACAGTGTGGGTTACTAAACAAAATAAAACAAAGCACATAAGCTAAGCTTAATAAACTAAGGCAACTTGTTGCAAATCATAGTTTCTCACCCTACATCTTATTTCAGGTGAATTCTTTCTCAAACTATAGATGTCTTTTCTGACCTTAGTCCATCAGTACAAATCCACCCCTGTTGTTACTAGGGTTGCCAGGTGTCTGGTATTCACCCGGACAGTCCGGTATTTTTGTCTCCTGTCGATAAAAAAATTCAGAGAATACTGGACACCTAAAATATCCGGTATTTTCTGAATTTTTCTCTGGCCAGGAGGCGAAAATGCCGGGCACCTGGAAACCCTACAAACACTCAGAGCCCGGCCTCCCCTCTCCCCCCGGCCGGAACTCCCAACACCCCCAGACACCAGACACCATGTTTACCTGGTTCCACAAGGTACCTGGTTCCCCAAGGCTGCTGGCACAAAATGGCTGCCGGCCAAAAGACCTAGGGGAAGCAATGCTCAACAACTTTGGTCTCTCTCCCATTTTTTCCCCCCTTCAACAGAATTTTTTCCCGTTTCTTTTTTTTTTGGGGGGGGGGTCAGTTTTTTTGTTTCAACCATCTGGAAACCCTAGTTGTTAGTGTCTTTTTGTTCATAGGTGTTTTAATGTATCCTCTTGAGGTGGGGAGGCAGTCTGTAAATCCAGCTGAAAACAATCATTGCTTGCTTCCCTTTGCTTACACAAAATTTCCCTGGAAACCTTTGACTGATTCCCCTGCATCTCTGTGGAAAAGTATAAAATTCATGATGGATGCCAGCTTCAGGTGACATGGTCACATGTACTTGTGGGGACCCTGAACCCCTACTGGCTGGATCATAGAAAAAACACATCAATTTACATATCACTGTCATTATCAATAAAACTTCAAGTTTCTGAAGTACCCTTAATGGACCTCATTTAGCATGGCTAGATTAGCAAAAAAGGTTTATGCTTCATATTTTCAGTGCCAAATACAGGAATGATACATGCACACAAATAGAATATATTCATTCAGTAGATTACAAGCTACCTTACAAAAATTATTTTGCATAGAGTATTTTCCAATTATGCATATTCATAAGCCTACTTTCATAAAGCACAGGGAAGGCCCATTCACAACTAACGTCATATATGCTATACACCTCCACTTAAAGATTTGTCTTTTGTTGAATCCCAGTACTTACCCTTGCATACAGGCAGTCCCCGGGTTACATGGATCCGACTTACATCAGATCCCTACTTACAAATGGGGTGAGGCAACCCCGCACTAGCTGCTTCCCCCCAGCAGACCAGGGAGACATGAAGCTAGCGCCCCTCCCCCCCAGCAGACCAGGGAGACGTGGAGAGGCTTTTCTCAGCAGACACCTCAGCTTGAGAATAAAGGACTGAGGGAAGTGAGGTGTGGGAGAATAAAACTGAGCTCTGGAGAAATGTTTGGCTAGAGTTTCCCCTACAATATGTACCAGTTCCGACTTACATATAAATTCAACTTAAGAACAAACCTACAGTCCCTATCTTGTACGTAACCCGGGGACTGCCTGTATATCGTACTTAGTCAGATTTTCAACTCCCAAGGACAGAGGCTAGAGTTGCCAATTTTGGCTGGATGTTTTTGTAAAGGTTTCATCATATGATAGAATCTTTCCTTAATGGTTAATATTTAATCTCTGGAGACTCCAGGGCAATTCTGAAGAGTTGGTAACTCTAGCAGAGATATAAGGTACATCTATACTAGCCTCCTAGTTCGAACTAGGGAGCCTAATGAGGGTGACCGAAGTTGCTAATGAAGCGTGGGATTTAAATATCCCGTGCTTGATTAGCATAATCCCGGCCGGTCGCCATTTTGTAAACTGACAAGCCCGAAGTAATCATCCGCGTCTATATGCGGCAGAGAAGCTGGATTATGAGATAAACCCCTTGGCTCGAATTAACTGTTAGTCCTTGTGAAATGAGGTTTAACAGTTAATTTGAACTAAGGGGTTTATCTCGGAATCCTGCTTCTCTGCCGCGAATAGACGCGGGCAGTTACTTTAGGCTAGTCAGTTTCCAAAATGGTGACCGTATGGGATTATGCTAATCAAGCGCGGGTTTATTTAAATCCCACACTTCATTAGCAACTTCGGTCGCGTTCGAACTAGGGGGCTAGTATAGACAGACTCATAGGGACTACTCCTCCTGATACCAAAGACAAAACTTTCATTGTCTCTAGTGGAAGTAGGGCAGACACATTTTCTTATACTTATTTGTGAAGTGCTGAGCACAATTTAGTGCTCTAATAATAAATGGTTGTAATTAAGCATGCTGACTAGTGTATGCTGTAAATTTATACCATAAACAGTATTAATTAAACAACATTTTTGATTTATCGTTGAAATAAAAATAACAAAAGTATGAATAATTTACTATTATTAAGCTGTATTCCCTGGTTAATTTAATTAGTTCCATTAGCTAATGACAGATCTTTTTTCTTTTTTGGCATAGACTTTCTTTGCCAGCAAAGTGTCTAACATATTTCTTTTTTTCTTTCTCATTCTTTCTCTGTCTCTTTCTCACAAATACTGTAGTGACTCATTTTATTTTACTATAAATTTGTGGCTTCTTGATTTTGCAAAACATGCCACTGATGTTTTATAAAG